GATTAAAACAGCTGCATGGTAATGGCTTCAGGCAAGAGTGAGGGAGCCTCCCCCAACCCAATAAGGGTCAACTTAGTGACCAATCAGGATTACAGATGTGACCACATGACATGGACTACATTTCCCAGGATACCTTAACTACATTTACCACGATACATTTCCTTAAGGAGACAGCTCTCAAATCCTAACTAACTATCCGAAATCCCACTAACTCTAAACTGTCTTGACAGCACACTCCCCGCCTGGAATTGTAAATTCCACTAAGTAAAGAGCAATTAACTAAGATAAACAGTAAAGAGTAATACTAACTGAATAGCAGATAACTATATAACTAAAATAAACAGTTAGCTATATAACTAAAGGAAACAGTGAATAGCAATAAAGCATCAAACAAACCAAAGCATGCAAAGCTTGAGGTTCAATCTTCAAGCTCAGCCGTTCTCCACAGCAACACTAGGTTGGTGACCTGTCAGGTGTAGAACTTCTTGGTGCAAGTCTGCTGGTCACCTCTGATGGCCTTTTAGGGTGGACAGGTACTCTTGGTGCCAATGGTTAAAGTCTGATGGTTGCTTCTGGTGGCCTTTTAGGGTTGACAGGTACTCTTGGTGCCAATGGTAAAAGTCTGGTGGTCGCTTCTGGCGGCCTTTTAGGGTTGGGGCGGTACTCTTGCTTCCACGGTGTCAAAGGGCACCAGGAAGCTGTTGGAAAGGGTGTTGCAGAGGCATATGCCCGTATAGAGTGTCTTAGTGGAAGTCTGGTGGTTGTTGGAGACCGTTTAGGGTGTCCTAGCAAAAGTGTACTGGTCACCAGCGGCCTTTTAGGGTGGAAGGGCAATCTTGTTTTCGACGGTGCTAAAGGGTGTCGGAAGGCTGTCGGAATGGATGGTGCTAAGGCATCTGCCTGGGTTGGGGCCTGCATTCGATCAACACTGACAAGTCCTGAGATTCCCCAACCCAGGTCTGTCTTGAAGAGTGAGTATCTCGGGCCTCTGACTACTTCAGTTTGCGCTAAGGTGTCAGGGGCATCGAATCACAGCAAGAGCAAAATCTTGGCTTCAGGATCTAGGGCGGGAAATAGATGAGCCATATGCTTCAGGTGAGGTATGTTGCTAGCTACCTCTGGTGTTGCAATGCGGCTGCGGTCATCTGGTATCCCGTTCCATTCCAGCATGGGTGGCAGTAGGAACTGGGAATTTCCATCTAATGACTCTAATACAGAGTCCAGTAGCTTCCCTCCCCTCCGTGCATCTTGGTGCGGTGCACATTGATATCATGAAGTGCACTTCTTCCTTCTGAATATCAAAGAGGTCGAAGAATGCAGAACTGGCTAGTGAGCGATCGCTTTGAGGATCCAGTATTACATACATCTTCACTGCTTCTTCTGGGTGTCCATCTGGGTATACTTTGGCTAAGCAGATCTGACGACACGGGCAAGGGATTGGTGTGCCATTGCACACCGCTATGCAATTGACACTCACCACTGGCTCTGGGTGTGCTTCTCTAGCACGTTGAGTCTCCTTGTTTAAAGGAGGACTATGAGATGTCTGCAGTGGATTGGCATCTGGATGCAGTGTGGTTGGGTGTGTCACTTTTGCAGATATTACATTGCACTTTGGCTGTGCAGTATTTGGGCGAGTGTTTGGATTTGCAACCCTTGTTGCAGAATTGGAGCTCTTTTATCAACTCTTTCCTTTTGGTCAGGGATTTCACTGCAAACCCGTGGCACCTGTTCAGTGAATGTTGAGTGTGGTGCAAAGGACAAAACTGGCTTCTCTTTGGAGTCAGAGAACTAAATTCGGTTGTGTCTGATGAGGTCTCTCCTGAACTGTGTACGGATGAGGAGTCAATCTCGGTTTTATGGACAATCATGAAGGGTTTTCCCCTTGCAGTGGGCGTAGGGCCTGTAGACGGTATATAGTTGCTGCCATTACGATGCAGCCGCTTCAATCATCATCATGGGGATGAGAGTTTATTATCTTTCTACTGTTCTGCATATCAATATTTGGATGGCATAAAGCAGACAAATCAACTCCACAAAGCATCCATACAAAGTCTTTTTTATTGGTTCATCAGGCATCCTGTCAACTCACATTTATGATGAGGTTCTTCTTAATATCTAATCCTTTGCATATCTGAATTGTGGTGTAGAAAGATAATAAACTCTCATCCCCATGATGATGACTGAAGCGGCTGCATTGTAATGGCTTCAAGCAAGAGTGAGGGAGCCTCCCTCAACCCAACAAGGGTCAATTTAGTGACCAATCAGGATTACAGATGTGACCACATGACATGGACTACATTTCCCAGGATACCTTAAGTACATTTACCATGATGCATTCCCTTAAGGAGACAGCTCTCAAATCCTAACTAACTATCCCAAATCCCATTAACTCTAAACTGTCTGGACAGCACACTTGGGGATGAGTGCGGTAGGAATAGGCAGTTATGACTAGATAGGTGGAGCAGGTGGTTGTAGTTTCAGAGGAATGTCTTGTTGAGTCCGGATCTGTATTTGCTGCAACATTTGTTGAAAATTGGCTGCAAGGTTCCTGATTTTGTTTTCAGTGCTGTCCTGGCATTTGCTGATAGACTGGAGGTTTGTTTGTCTGCTATTGCTGCAGCGTTGGGATCTGAGATCATGGCTAGGGTATTTCGGAGCTTGTGAAAATTTTTGGTGAAGATGAGTAATGTCGAGCACCAGGGAAATCAGGAGATTCAGGCAGTTTAAATGAGTATAAAGATTTATTGCAAGCTTAAGCTGTGTACAAGAATCTGAGCTACTAATAATCAAGGGAAATTATTAGGTGTTAAGATTTAAATTAGGCTGTACTTAGATCTCTTGAGGTGTGCAGAGACTCATGACTGATGATGCATTTGACCTCTCCTCTCCTACAATCACATTGCTTAATAATGGAAATCCTGGCATTCCTGTTTGTTATTAAGCAAGGATCATGAGTCGCTAAGTGAGACCCTCCCTTCAGTTTCCTATTGGCTTCCAAAAAGCAAAATCAGTGGGAAGGCAGTTCATATGGAGGCTGGTGGGCAGGTATGTGACTGCTATCCAGTGAAGGCAAGTCCTGGGGGATTGGTGAATTTTGGTGTAAGAGAAAGGGTTGCCTTCCACTGAACAAGGGAAAGTATGTGGATGGAGGGCAGCTATCCACAGAAGCAGAAGGTAAAAGATAGTTGTTGCTGAATGGGTGGGGGTATGAGTGACTTATTGGAGTGACTTGTGATCTGCCTTCCTGGACTCCTCATTGATTTTGTTTATTGGAAACTGGTTCGTAAAACTGTGGAACACTGCAATTTCTTTGGTCACAAAAGGTAGACATTTATTAGGTTTGATTCCTTATTTGAGATTAGAGAGAGTTCTTGAGTTACAATGCAATTAAAATGGTAATTTCTATTGCTAAATTATGCGGTTGTAATCTGCAATGTCACATGACCACAATTCCTGTAGTTCCCATTGCTAGTGTTAAACGTGCACCTCTTTGCAAAGTCCTGCCAGTTTCTAAAACCAAAATTAGTAGGGAAACCAAGAGGAAGTTGCAAGTCTCAGATACCTTGCAAGCAAGCCAACAGGCAAGTGCTCCTGCCGGGCGGCAAAGGGAGTGAGGGGGTTAGTACAATGGCCAGGAAGATGCTACACAGCTATGGTGGGGTTTGAAGTGGTTCTTGCTGGGTGAGAGAGGTTATGCGCGTGGGAAGTCATAAGCATAATGAGTCTTGGGATGGCTGCTGTTGGGTGGAGGGTGAATGAAGGTGCATGTTGGGTGGAGGGTGAATGAAGGTGCACAGATGGCTGTGGAGAATACCATGAGTGGCTGTAGTGGCATGGTGTAAGCACAACAACGCTCCGGAGGGTACACAGACTTACCAATTTGAAACCTTGCCTGCCAGTTTGACTTTGCTTGTGGCAAGCCAACAGGGAAGGTCACAAATAGAGATCACAGGACTGCAAGATGTTGCAGCTAGTTGCTCGTTGCCAAGTGGCCATTGCTATCATATGGTTATTTGACCAAGGGGTGCTGGGATGGCCAGAACTTCCAAGACCAATCATAACCATAACTTGTTGGGTAGTTATAATTTCAAACTGAATGATCACTGAATGAGTGATTGTTAACTGAGGACTTCCAGAGCTTTGGATAACAAAGTGTATAAATTCTTACAGTTCACTAGAATTTTTGACTTGTTTGTTGCTCATATCCAACCTTCTCTCATCTCACAGATGGCTTTAATCAATCATGGCTTCAAGGAAGGATACAATCCACACTGCAGAAGGCTGTGTCCAACAATGGGCTCAATATGATACCAGCTCATTTCAAAAGTTGGAGGTCAGCTTATCTGGATTCTGAGTGATTTTGCCCACCTAATGTGGCAAAAAAAATTTTTTACAGCAGACTTTCATATGGTTTGGTGAAGATCTTCAAGTCACCTTATAAAAGGTTTCTGGATAACACTTATGATGCAATTGGGACAGCAAAATATTTATTTTTGCCTCTTAAATTGTCACTGTGTAGCTGAAGAACTCTTACCAATGTTGGGTCAGGCTTGAAACAAATCCTTCTCCAGCAGCATTCCAGGTATCTGCCACATTATTTCTCCGAGATTCTCATCTTTCTGGTAACATATTTCAGACTAACAGATTATTGAAAATCATAAGCTTTCTTTAACTTCATCGGGTGCATGAAATGGTTACCCAGAACTTTTCCAGGATCGAATACGTACGTGCAAGTGGAACAGGGAATCCAGCAAGTTATCTCATGCGACTTCCAGTAGACTACAGGGTCGGTTTAGTTTACCACCCCGGAGGCCTCACTTCCAACCACCGCCCCAGTACCTTCCTTTTCTCCCAGCCTGGGCAGCCAAACGACAGCCTCTTTACAGGCCTCTTCCCGAGTCTTGTGGTTGTTCAGCTTCATGACGCACCGTATAACGATCGCCCATTGGCCGGGCCCGTCCTGGTTCTCCCTCGTGGGACTCACAGAGGGAGGAGCAGAACCGGCGTGGCGAGCGGAGCATGCGTAAGGCAGCCTCCTTTCTGGCCACGTCTGCCGGGTTGTGTTGTGTAGCTGCAGCGCAGCAGTAGCAGCTGCTCTGGGTTAAACTCAGCCTAGGATCGGGGATGCGGGAGAATCCTCTGGGCTGCCGTGCGCGCCCCTGGACGGGGTTGCATTGGCTGCAGCTGGTGGTGCTTGGTTTGCTCGTACTTCGTACCTTCGCCTGGGAGAGCGGCGACTTGGAGCTCTTCGACCTCGTGGAGGAAGTCCCGCAAAACTTCTATGCTTTCCTCGGCGTTGAGCAGGTGAAGAGAGAAGCGCGTCTAGGCTATTCGTGGCTTTAGGCTGGGCCTTGGAAGTTCCTTCGAGTCCCGGGGCGCCTAGAGGCACTGGAGAGACCAAAGCGGGTTCTGGGGCTTCTCCGCGGGACATGGCCTGCAATGTCTCTGGTATTAGACCACAAGTCTGTGGTTTCTTGTAACAGAGTGGGATCTTTAAAGTTGCTTTTTAACAAGCTCAACAATAAGTCTTCTGGAACTTTTCGTAGCTCATGTGCCCCACCCTGTAGCTGAACACTACTGAAAGGTGTTGGATTGAAGAAGGCCAGTGTTTAGTACAAGGGTCTTCAAACTCGGCAAGTTTAAGACTTTGTGGACTTCAACTCCCAGAATTCCTGAGCTTAACATGACTGGAGGAAGAATTCTGGGAGTTGAAGTCCACAAGTCTTAAAGCTGTCAAGTTTGAAGGCCCTTGGTTTAGTAGGAAGACATCATGTGTTTTTTTCCTGTTTATGTTTCCATTCACTGTATCCTGGCTCTTCTGATATTCTGTATACTCTGGTTTAATTGATTTCTTACTATTCAAACTTTCAGTGGTATTGCTGGTATTACTAAATGCAGAGTTTTCACTTTTTCTTGAATACTGGGACCAAATACAGTGTTGACCTTGAGTTACGACCACAATTGAGCCCAATATTTTTGTTGTTAAACAAGACATTTGTTAAGTGAGTATTGTCCCATTTTATGACCTTTCTTGCTACAATTGTTAAGTGAATGACTGCAGTTCATTACTTAGTAACCTGGTTGTTAAGTGAATCTGGCTTCCCAGTTGACTTTGCTTGTCAGAAAGTCGCAAAAGATGATCACATTACCTTGGGAAATACCAGCAGTCATAAATATGAACCAGTAATCAAGCATCTGAATTTTGATCACATGGTCATGAGGATGCTGAAAAGATCATAACTAAAAAACAGTAATAAATCTCTTTTTTTCAGTGCCATTGTAATTTTGAATGATCACAAAATGGACTGTTGTAAATTGAGGACTATATCAGTTTTGCCATTTTTACATACATGTCAAAGTGTAGCTGTCTCCACTTACCCCTTTCATATATTATCCCACCATTTTATTTATACATCACTGCAGTTTCTGCAGTTTACAGAATATAATGAAGTACAATAACATAGTAATATAAAACATAAACAAAGCTGATATGCTTATTTTTGAATGACTCTGCTCACTGTTAGCAAAGGGGGAGATGAATAATATTATTAATTATATTAATAATATTGCTCTATGGAGCAAGCTTGTTAGTGTCTTTAAGTTTATAACCTGCCCATCCACTGAGAACAACTTCGAAGGCTGGTCTCCCGAACTATTAAATGAAACTTGGACCTAATGCCTTTCCTGTTATCCTGTTTTGTAACTATCTAGAATTTCTTGTTCAAAGTTGCCTTCTGTTTTGAATTCCTTGATATTAGATTTAATGATTTTTTTTGTTTCCATACCTGGCTTTCGTACATAGTGCAATGGTTGCTGATTGTTTGGATATGGTTTCATTGATTTTATTTTTGATTTGATATTCTGCTGTTTTGTGTACTTTGACTACAGGTTACCATAGCCTGAAAATTGGATATAAATAAATACATAGCAAATGTGAAAGCTTTGGACCTGATTAGTTGGTGGTGAAACTGAAAGTTAAAAGGATTAAGGATTAACTAAATAGTGTTGAAGTTTGGGTTTATTGCTCTGAAAAAGATTTGTTATGTTGATATTTCTTAGAGAAGGGGATAGGAAAAGCTTCATCCAAACACTATGCCAATTTGTGAAAACTGCCAGTTTCTATTGTTTAAATTAGGATTTTTAAGTGAATTTTATCATATGAAGTAGTAGTATGAAACTGGAATTCTTGACAGATTACCATTAAACTTAATCGAAAACTGAATTAAAATATAACATTTATGCTCTTTCCCTTTTCTTTCTAAAAACCTTTTTAGTGGTTAAGTAATTGTTTTACTACTTTAAATATGTGATATTTCATCATTACAAAGAAAATAATGGAATATGTTTATGAGGGGGAATTCTACTGGGACTAGCCAGCCCCACGGTATTGTGGGCCTCTGAATCCCCCATGTAAGGTGTTATCCATGTCCTTCTTTGGGCACCCAATATGGCTTGTGTGGCTACATTCTGCACCAGTTGACACTTCCAGATACTTTTCAAGAGTAGCCTCATGTAGAGCACATTGCAATAGTCTAATCGGAAGATAACCAGGGAATGAGTGACCAAATGAGTGGCCTTCCTGTCCAGGAAGGGGTATAATTGGTGCACAACACGGAAATGGGCAAAGGCCCTCCTAGTCTCAGCTGCCACCTGCTTTTCAAGCAGGAGTCATGAGTCTAAAAGGACTTCCATGTTACGCTCTGTCTAGAATAGAGTAATCCCATCCAGGACCAAAGATGATAAACTCCTGTATACAACGGGACCAACTCACAGCCATTCTATCTTACAAGGGTTCATTTTAAATCTTCATTTATTTCACTTTGCATTTTGTTGAATTGTTCAGATCCTACTTTTGAAAATGTCCTTAAAATTAAAATGTCCCTAAATGTGTCGGTTTCCTTAATATTGTACAATTAAATGACCATAAATCTTTGTAAGTGGGAAATGGAGTCCAGTATGAATTTATATGGACATTGCTGTACAATTTTCTTCAGGTTTAGAAATAGATGTGCTTTCTTTATGCAGTGAGATTTATGTATACATTTATTTACTAGATTTTTGTGACTACCCAATTCACAGATGATATGGTAAAGAAAACTACTTAGTATTAGATTCAGGTGGATGGATTTAAATACCTTTAGGAATCAATATGCGGTGCAGTTATAGCAACTTTTCAGCAATCTTTTCTAATTTTTGTTTTGTATAGTTCCATTTTATTTATTCCATTCAATCTGTATAGTCTCTCATCTTACTATATGACTCTGACTGCCTTATAAGAGAAAACTGTATAGATATATAAATAGCATTCAAAACAAAATGATTAATCAAAAAAATATAAAAGACCAGGAGAGTGCCAAACACAATTCACAAGCAATATTTTAATATTGATAGTATAATATTTTTGTAATACATCCTGTGTCAGTGTATCACTATCTTGGGCTTATGTAGAATTTTAAAAACATGTAATGATGCTGATCTGTGATCTAGCACATAATACTAACTGAAAGGAAAATGGGTAAAGTTACACATTTCCTATAGCCCCCCCTCCCCAATTGCTTATAGAGCCCCTCTGACTGTTCATTTGGATAGCAGGAAGGACGTACATTCAGAAAGACTGTAGTGTGGCTATCTACCAGTTTTTTATTTTTGGGAGTGTAAGTGAACCCTTAAGCGTTCCTGAAAATATGGTATTTTGCAACAGATGCTTCTCTCTCACTCATACTTTTATACCTAGCAGAAACTTTAGGCATTTAATAAAAGCAACCACATGAAACATTAAAACAATAAACAGTAACGCTAAAATTAATTAAAAATTAAGGAGGAGGTGGAGTCTTCTCTTACGGTAGTTCATTAACCACCTCCAGAATGACATCCTCCATTGCGGCCCCGGGCCAGGTTTTCAGTTCCTTTAGGAAGGCCAAAAGGGTCAATACAGATTTTATCTTGGGAAACACAATTGTCCGGGGGTGAGAGCTATGGCAGAAAAAGACCCTACCAGCCACAGTTCCTTGACAGGTTCCATAGCGCCCCACTCTGCAGTGAGATAGTTCCTGAGGTAATCTGACCCATGCCCTGAAGAGCTTTAAAGGCAATGATTTCAATTGGGCCTGGAAGCAAACTGGCAAGTTGTGCTCCCAAGAACTGTCCATGTAATTGAATTCTGTGCTAGCTGCAGCTTCCCGATACTGTTCAAGAGTAGCCCCATATAAAGCACGTTCTAGTAGTCCAGGCGTCAGAAGATCAGGACTTGAGTGACTGAGCACAGGAATTCCTGATCCAGAAAAGAGAACAACTAGTGCATGACACGAAGTTGTGCAAAAGTTCTACTGCTATCTGCTCATTGAGCAAGAGTTGCAAGGCCAGGAGAATCCCCAAGTTATGTACCAAGCCTGTCTGGAGCAATGCAACTCCATCCAGAACTAAAGATATTAAATTCCTAGATCCCATTCAATTTTACCAAGGTTCAGCCAAAGCTAGTTGTCCCCCATCCAGACCCCCAAAGACCCCAGGGCAGCAACAGGATATCTTGAGTCACCGGAGATTTAAAGTTGAGATAATCAGCATACTGATGCTAATTTATTCCATGGTAACAAATGATCTCATACAGTGACTTAATGTAGATATTAAAAAGGAGTGGGGAGAATACTGACCCTTGCAATACATCATAAAGGAGTGACCATGAACTCGATTTCTCACTCTCTATCAACACCAGGTAGGGCTGGCGTTGAGAAAGGAATGCAGACTGTGCCACCCAGCCCCAAACCTCGTAGCCGACCCAAAAATATACGATAGTCAATGGTATCAAAGGCTGCTGAGAGGTCAAGGAAAGCAAGGAAGGATGCACTCTCTCCAATATGCTCTCACCGGATTTACTATGCAGGATGATTGGGTAAAGGCTCATTTTTAAAAAATTGTAATAAAGAAACCCTAGGAGGCATAGAACCTTGTAGGGCAAAAATGGGTCTTCCTGGATGAGTCAGTGCTCTCAGATATCCTGAATGGAACACTGGGATTGGGAAATTTAGTATTTATTACCATGAGTTAGTTAGCATGACCAGTGATCAAGGATATTGGGAACTGTAATTAAAAATGATGTTTTTGATCCTGTCCTAAGCAATTCTTGACAGGTATCTAAATTGGACTTATCCTGAAAGAAAATATCTTTATAAATGATATTTTAATTTGTAAAATAACTTCTGAACAGTACATGTAAAAAAAATAATCTTGAATTTTAAATAAATAATCATTCACTGAGCTCATTTCATTGACCATAGAACAGGATTGCCTCTGATTAATACTTGGTT